CAGATGCATTATGGATATTCTGTGTACCGTATAACATAATTAGAGATTGTTGTAAAATGTCAGTAGGAATGATAGTGACGATAGTGAATTATATACTTTTTTCAAATATACTTAGGCATACTGTAGGCGTAGTGTGTAACATGTCGATCATTACAGAACTATGGTGATGTTCGATTTGTGTATATAAATATGATTTCCTTAATTAACTTTCTTTTATATGACTATGAGAAATTGGCGTTATGGTGCGAATAGTTTTGTTTACCAAGTCCTTTTTTTCTTCTCTGATTAGAGAGCAAAAAATCCAAAAAAAAAGGATACATAGATGTCTTTGAGCTAATGCGAGGTTGTTGCGTGTCTCCAACAGATGATGGAAGTTGGGAGCGGTGTGGAGGGGGGTCAGGCCCAGTACCCCACCGGATACGCCCCGATGTCGTCGCTGCAGGATTTCTATTCCAATTCCCAGCACTGCTCTTACTCCAACCCAGGTAAGTCGAGCTCCCCGTCGGCTTCCTTCTTTTATCTGCGCTGTGTGGACGTTCAGTTTGCACTTGTCTTCGTCACAAGGCGTTTGTTTGTTTGTTTTTTTGTCTTGTGCCCTTTGTTAAGAGTGAGGCTGCGAGTGATCAGTGGATTTGTCGCAGGACAACGCGCATGTAATTTCTATTGATTTACGACGCTGTTGGGTACACATTGTATACCCCCCACGCCTCTCCCCCCTATAACACACCCTAATTACGCCCCCCCTTCCTTCCCTACCCCGAGGAAACCGTCTCCTTAATTCAGACATATAATTATGAAAGGAAATTAATGCAGCAAATTAGAGCCGTTGTTCAAAAAACGTTAATCGCTTCCATACAGTGGCCGAGCCCTTGTGGCACTGGTGCCCGGGCCTTGTGATCTCCGTGCATACAGTCCTCACTGCCGGGTGAAACCAGCGATACGATTCCTTTTATCAGTACGATAGTTACAGTAAATTTAAGGCATAAATAGCACACACGAGACTTTGCAACATTAGATCAGGCCGAGAGTATGCATGGGAGTCAGATGAAGTTCGTAAACCTTGCAGAAGCATAAACTGCATTACCAGAGGGAGGGATAACAAGGGCAGTGCAGCCACCAGCAGGCCAGGAGGGAACCAACCTTCGCCAGTGTAAAAACTCGTGTAATGTGACCCGTGTACATGGAGGCCGCGGTGTACGGCTGCGTAAATTGTAACACAGTACGGCGTATGACGTGGAGCGGCCTCCGAAACGTCACTGCTACTCACCACCACAATATGTCACCGACGCTAGCCGTGATTTTGAGCTGCAATCGCGTTGTTTTGACGTATTAGTTGCGTTAAATGACGGCGCGAGGACTGAGGAGGCGAGATGCAGCGGCAGAGGGCATCCGGCGCGGCGCAGCGACACTCATTAGGGGAGCCAAGGACAACGCGGGCCACTTGGCTGCGGGGAAACGCGGGCACAGCGACTGCACTGGCGTCGAATGATTGCGTCACGCTTACCGGTTGTTTTTAGAAGACGCACATGGAGAATGCAGTTAAACAGATATTGATGAACACTCATTCATAATTACTCACCGCTCAGGCAAACTGACGGTCGATCATAGCGGTCATAAAATCAGCTTAAAGCCAAAATATGTAAATCGATTCAAATTTGCATTTATATTCCAGTGGCATGAGATATCACATGAATTCGAAAATTATACTTTTATTTATATAATTATGATAATTATGATTATAGTACTAGTATTGATAATGAAAATAATAATAATAATAATAATAATAATAACATTAATAATAACAATAATAATAATAATAATAAAAATGATGATGATAATAACAGTGATAAAGATGATATAATAAAACTAATGATAGCAATAATAAAAAACAATGATAATGATGATAATAAGTATGGTGATAATAATGATAAGAAAATAATAATAATATTATTAGTCACTATTCTCTTATTATTATTATTATTATTATTATTACTATTATTACTATTACGACTATTATTATTATCATTATTATTATTATTATTATTATTATTATTATCATCATCATCATCATCATTCTTATTATTTTTTATTATTATTATCATTATTGTAATTATTATTATTATTATCTTCAGCTTTTGAAAATTTATGAATCGGTAATATTACAACAAATTCATTCGAGGAAATAGCTTAAACAAATTGCCATAATGACAGAGATACCAATTCGGATAAGTTGCGAGCCCTGGGCCGAAGTAACTCATCGGTCTGGGCGTGGAGACCGATCGGAGCCAGGTGCCGCGTGCGTCCCTTTGGGGTACATTCGTCAACTAATATACATATCGCTGAAGGCTAAAGAAATGGCACTTCTTGTTGTATCATCAGCGACTTCGAAACTCCGTCCATTTCTGAGATATTTATGGTGCGTTGGGTTTATGGGTTTATCATGTTTTGCTGTTGTTGTTGTTGTTTTTATTCACTTTGCTTCGTGTCTGTTCGTTTAACACAGGTGTTTCGGTTAATTACAATACGGATAATGGGAATGGGAAATCAGTAGTTTGTAAATTGATTAGATTTATTCTGTCGAAGCAGCTTATAATTTACTCGAGCCTGAAACAGCAATCATCCTGACACTTCTGAAAAGTACTACAGTCTCAGTAATATATCTTTTATTGATATTTATGGCGATCAGAATGTTATCAAGTGTTCCTTCCTGAAATACGAACAAGCTGCCGATCCCCTTCCATTCCGAAACAGAGAGCCATAACCTGTCGTTCCCAGTCGCTGAAGTCCACCCCCCTCCCCCCAGTAGCATCCGAACCGCAGAAGGCTAAACCGAGGTCGAAAATCCCGCAGAAGCCGAGCGCCGCCGCCTTAGCTTTGTCATAAAATGAAATCGTCTTGGGCGCGGGCGTGGATGGCGCGGCGGCCTCATTGTTGTCGAATTAGGGCGGGTCGCCGCTACATGCCGAAGGGATTGGGCGTGAAACACAAGATTAGGGCGACATTTGTTGAATCTCCGGGCTCAGAATTTCCGTTTTGGTTTCATATAATGTCTTTGAAAACTAGTAGAAATAAATAAGCCTTTTTTAAAAAAAAAAAAAAATGTAACGAAAGAGCATTCTCTATCAAAAATGGAAACAGCAACAAATCCCCAGGAAAAAAAAAAAAACGTTTAGAGGCGAAGGGGAAAAAATATTTCTCACTATTTCACTCTCGCCGCGCCTGTCCCGGGAAGGCTGGTGTGCCATAAGTCCGACTCAGTCCTATTAGCTCTGAAAGCCTCCTACCACAGCGATTGCCAAATACAGATGTTAACTGTCATTCCCCATTACCCTCAACTGAACTCCCCTCGCGGAAAAAGGTAAATGTGTCTAAGGAAAATAAATGTTTGGCGGATGTTTAGGTCCCGGTGGTCATTCTGGGAGTCTCGCGCACTTTCCCCTCGAAGGCGGAGGCGCAGCGAGCGGGAGCTGCGGTTTGCGGCGGCTCCTCCTCGCGGCCTCCAAGGGTTAGCCATGCTCCCCTCTCCGTATCTCATCCTGCTTATTATTTTTTTAGCTATACCGATGTGAGAAATAAATAGAGCTATGTAAGAAGAAACAAGAGGAAAAAAAAGAAAAAAAAACTCAAAGCTTACACAATACTCCTTCAGATTCCAAAAGTGCGTGTGTTGCGGCCGGCCAAAGCACATGGGACAGCGCTTAAAGGCCTGTTAATTCCCCGGCGGGACTGGAGGTCACGCGAAGGGCACCAATCACTTTTAAGGAGCGTCCATCCGTAACTTGTGCTCCTCCGTAATGACCTCTCATCAACACCCACGCATTAGCACCCTCGTTTGGCCTCGGGAGCACGTGAGGCCGAGAGACCGACGGAGGGCGCGAGGCTGCTTTATGGTTGCCTGGCTCTCGCGCTCTCTCTGTGGTCATCTGCTTCTCCGTGGGATCTCTTCTTTTATTTTTTCTCTCTCTCTTTTTCCTTTTTTCTGTGGTTATCGCCTTCTGTTTTTTGCTCTCTCTCTCTCTCTTCTCTCTTCTCTCTTCTCTCTTCTCTCTCTGTCTATCTATCTACCTATCTCTATCTTTAATTCCCCCTCCTACCTCTCTCTCTCTTTATATATATATATATATATATATATATATATATATATATATATATATATATATATATATATATATATATATATATTTATATATATATATATATATATATATATATTTATATATATATATATATATATATATATATATATATATATATATATATATTTATATTCCTCTCTGCTTACATTTCGAAAAGGATTCCTCAAATGAATATGCATCAGTATTACCAGAAACAACAATGGCACCGATTACTCCTCGTCGTCAAAGCCCGCGTACTCACACAATGGAGAAAAGCTTTGCCGCGGCGCTAACCACACGCAACCTTATAATGACAAACAATGAGGCCACTAACCACCCATCGGAAGCCCACACTCACTTCTCACGAGTTCCACCAAGCTGTCAGTCAAACCGTCAATTGACTGTCAAGCTCCATTCTGTGTTAAATTGCTCGGGAGGCTCCGATGGGAGGGGAAGGGGGGAGGGAGTGTGCAGTGCCTATAAAAATCCCCTCATATCGTTTGATGGTTTAACACTCCAGGAGTCCAGGGGAAAAAATCTTTTAGGTTGCTTATAATTTTACATTACATTATAATTTCATGCATAATATGTTTGTCTATTAGATTCATTGCTGAAGAATAATATTTGCAGCAAGTAACCTTTGCTTTTCCCTCAGCAGGTCGCTTTGGTCAGAGCAGCATGTACCGCGCACACCCGCACTTCCCCACACCTCTGCACTCCTGGTTGGGCACAGACAAAATGGCTGCCGCCGCTGCCCCCTCGGCTTACAACACGCCCGCGTCCTCTTGGCACACACCTTTCGCTAAGACTTATCAGCCCACGCCCACGCCCGCCCACCAGACACACCAGTCCGCCCAGGGATATGCCGCCTACGGATATCCTCCGACCCCGCCCGAAGAAACCGCCTCGGCAGCCGCGTCGCAGCAAGCACCTCAGCAACAGCAGCAGCAGCAGCAGCCCCAGGATCACCCCATGAGCACCAGCCCCATGCCACAGCAACAGCAGCAGCCTCAGCAACACGACAACCCCACAGCCGCCGCACGCATGACCCCTGACCGGGTCACCGCCTCCCCGAGCGGCGTGGCAGGCAGCGAAATCAAGTCGGATTCCGTCTACAGCCCTGCCTTCAGCTCGTCCTTCGCCTCCAAGCCCGCACTGTCCCTTTCGCCCGCCCACACCACCGCCCACCCGGCCGGATACAGCACGTACCCCACCCATTCCTCCATGGACTTCACTCACAGCGGCTACTCCGGCTTCTACCCGTCCTCGGGCATGACCTCCATGTTCAGCAAGCCCTTCTCCACCGTGCCCGCCACCGCGCTGTCGCCCTCGCACGAGAAGTCCAAGAACACCAAGCGCTCCAGCACAGGTAAGCGGTCTCGCCATTTAGCTTTTGATCATCATAGGCTGTAAATTGGCATGGGTATATTGATCATAATGAATAAATTTCCAAGTCCAATAATCGAGCAAAATGCATTTGTTCACAAATGCATCTTGACTGAATCGTCTCTGTAGTTCTTTATTAACCTTGACTTTGACGTCTTTCCCTTCAGAGGGACGTGAGTGCGTGAACTGCGGCGCCACGTCCACTCCGCTGTGGCGGCGCGACGGCAACGGCCACTACCTGTGCAACGCCTGCGGCCTCTACTACAAGATGAACGGCCAGAACCGGCCGCTCATCAAACCCAAGCAGCGCACGGTGAGTCCCAATCAATATCAGTGTGTCTAATCTACCCTCGATCTTGCCTTATCCCCCCAATCGGAGCCCGCGTTTATTATCGTCACATCGCGACGTCCCGCTCCCATTGAGGTGTCCGATGCCGCGAGGAGGGCCAGAGGGAGCGCTCTTGTGCCGCCGCGGAAAACCTTATTCCGGTTCATGAATTATTCACCCAAAGATTTGATTACCGCTTGGTGCAGTCTGTTCTGTACTCGGAAAATATCAGATTGTACATAGATAAAAAAAACACTAGTAATAATATTGATGATATTTTGAGTATTTTCCCTAAAACATACTGAATTGAAATATTTCTCCTTCAGTCTGCCAATCGTCGTGAAGGAACCTCTTGCGTCAATTGCAAGACACAGACGACAACTTTGTGGCGACGGAACCAGAACGGAGAGCCAGTGTGCAACGCCTGCGGACTCTACTACAAACTGCACAACGTAAGTGTTTCTTTGAATGCTTGCTAAGCCATTACACATTAGGATTTCCATTATGAATTAGAACTTCTATACAAAAAAACACAAGAAGGAACACATACAGTCCTACATATACATTAAAGTACAAGACAAAAGAGAGAACACCAACAAAATATACAGAAAATGCAAACGGGAACACCTGCTACAATTACTCATCATTAGACACAACGTTCAAATACAGCTTCGAAAGCGAGTGTGGAAATGATAACAGTGAATCCGACACACCAGATGATTACACACTTATGATTCGTGTCAAATGGTCGATCACATCACGCCCCCACCCCCTCCCAGTGTGATTTTCCGCTTTACTGGTAGTGCATGGTGTGCCTTTATCACGCCGTTTTAATGTCCTTCCTCTTTATATTGGGAATGTTTATCTTGGCTGACAAACCATGGCAATCATAAGTGGGATTAGTGAAAGAACTTTTTACCTTCGATTAGCGTGTCCCCCGTGAAGGAAGTCTCTCTTGACGGTTTCTTTTTTTCATAACGCTTCAGTAACCAGAAGTATCAGAGGGAAATTGAAGAACAAACTAAAAGCACTGAAGAGGCAATGACCACGCCGTGGGTAAAAATGCTCCTACCATCTGCCCCCACAATCTTGAGATGTGAGTCACGAATGCGTGACTCACCTTGTGCTGTTGGCTCATATAGCTTTAAACACTACATGTGTGCTTGGTATTGACAGACCGCGCGTTTATAACCTTAGATGCAGTGTTCATGTGACTATCATGCCCCGAAAACGTAAAGATGCCGAGCCTTGCACGACCGTAAGACACTTCTGCTTTCGCCTCCTGCGGTGCATTTTAGTCACAGTGACATCCTGTCATTAGAGTCAATATTGTGCACGCGCAGTTGTGACACTCGGTTCATAATTATTCAGGAGAAAATGGAAGATATATTAGCGTCCCTCGTACACATGTTCCCTCGAAAACCAGAAGCCTCGCGTTGAGAGCCAAGGTTCCCCTCCGCACATCCAGGCCTTCTGACGGAGTGCCATAAGGGTCATACTTTCCCACGCGAGAAGGAGGGAGTCGCGCGCAGGGAGTAATTATTCCAAAGGCGATGTAAAATATAGCGTCTACATGGGAACATCTGTCGGTGGCTAATCTTACTCGGCCCGCCGTCGATCGCCGCGGCGCTGTCTCTTGCCGCTTCCCTCGGCCGGCTTGTTGACGTCTCGGCCAGCGCCAGGAAGGGCTTTGTTTTGCTTGGGTTTGGTTGGCAGGTTCTTATGCATTTATATCTTAATATATGGTAATGATAATGATTACCATTATTGTCATTTATTATTGCTATTATCATAACTGACACACGATTATCGTCATTATCAAGGCCCTTCCTGCAGAGACAGACCACAAAACCCCGGCGTCAGTTTTTCCCTTTTCTCGTAATGTGAATACGTTTCCCCTCCTTTTAGCCCTCTTTCTCCTGTAATTATCGTCGTCAAAACCCCTCATTTTGGGCCTCATGTTACAGCCGCCAGTCACGGGTACGACTGTGGTTAGAAATGTAGGTATTTTTTGTGCAGTTTCTCTCATTCTACCAATGGAAAGCGTTCATTAAGGAATGGCGGTCACACAGATATGATCTCGTACGCAACTGTTTTTTTTTTTTTTTTATCGCTCGCAAAATCATTTATGTTCCGTAAGAATCGAAAGAGAAAGAAATTAAAAAAAAAAAAAGAACACTAAAGGCGAACAGAGTATAAAAAAAAAAATGGGAAGAGGGAGAGGGCGAGAGAAGGAAGAAAATAATCCCGAAGACTAAGGCATCAAAGAGACGTGAGCTGAAATGGCCCAAAAAAAAGAGAAAAAGTAAAAAAAAGAAAAAAATCGAGCGCGGTACTGTGAGACGGGCGGGGTAGTGGCGCCAGGTTTGAAACGTGATATTATCCATACAAGTGTCGTGGCCTCGCTGTCTCTCCTCTTAGGCACACGCTCTAGATACGTGTCCTGTCGCTCAGCCACTTCTTCCTGGTCTGTTAATGAGAAAATTAAAAAGGAAAAAAAAATCGTTTGATTTAATTAGATTACATTTTTCTTAGTTTATTTTTCTCTTGATTTGCGAAATAGCCTTTTCACTTTTTCCGATGAAAAGAAATGCCGACTCAAGTGTATAAATGTTTGTAATGTTTAGACTTTGACAAAAAATTACTTAATGTCACATATAAACGTCAACCGCGCACTACGGATAGTTTGTTTAGAGGTAATGTCTCCTGCCTGTTAGTCACGGCTTCAACACGCGGAAAGAAATGTGGTCTTAACTTCATCGTTACAGATTAACCCTTACTTTATTTTTTATAACGTTGCGATCTTTATTAACTTCGTGCATTCATTAGAAAATCATGTGCATTTTATTATTACGCCGAAAAAAATGAATGGTTCAGATAATTTAACGTCACGAGTGCCAGTCTTTTTTCACTCTTTTCCCTTTCTTTTTTCAAAGCTCGCGTAGGCCTAACCCTTGTACCCGTGCCCATAGGCCCGAGTGTGATCCGATACCCTTCATGCAGGGCAGGAACGTGACCCGCGAGCGTGCCCGGGTCAGCCGTAGCGGTCACGGTGGCGCCAACCCGACCCACTGTTTACACTCGGCGCCGCGAGGTGTTTGTTCGAACTAAACGGCAGCCTAATTCGTAGATAAATACTTAATTAAGCCCATCAAAGGTCGGAATGAGCGGCGCGTGTTCGATCAGGAGCGTGAAGCAATTCGTTTATTATTCACGTGAAATAGTGTTCGTCAAGGTGTGGGAGACTCATGTTCCGGGCATTCGCTGCAAAATTCGTTCGTGAAAATAACTGTCTTGACGTCTTGCCACGGACGAGATTATCCGATAAATTAAAATTAAAACATCGGACCCAAATCTAGTCAGTCAACAAAAAAAGCTTGGGAGAAATTCCCCGCAGTCTTGAGAAAGCATCGCCGCTTCACAGCAAAGCAGCAATCGTCCTCCGCCTTCAAACGTTCCTTAAAATGAGGGAAAAGGTTGAATTGGCTGGCGATCGGAGAGCCAAAGTGGCGTAGTCTGGCATCCGCGGCGCAGAGGACGTCGCGGCAGCTCGCTCGTCATGCTTCTGCTGAGCGGAGTCTGGCGACGACCGCACCGCCCTGGCGCCACCGCCACGCGTCGCAGCCTATGCGCATGGCTTCGACTTAGGCATAGCTCTTGTCGGAAACAAAGTCAGTTGGTTGTCGTTTGATTAAGTAGGACGTGGATACTGGTTTCTTTTCTGTAGAAAGGTGTATGTCGAATAATGTATGCTAACTAGATGTGTCCCGTTTCATTATTACTGGCCAAGATTGTTTCCCGCGCTTTTAGAACGGAATCGGACAATCCATCTCCCCTTGACGTCGGTTCGGTTGAAGTCGAGGAAGGCTTGCGTCTTTCCTTTTATCTTTTTATCTTGTTTATCTTCTTATTTCCTGTCGTGTTTTCCATGTCTCCCGGATGTCAGGGTTGATGATGGTGGGACGTTGGGCTGAGAGAGGGAAGCCATGGGAAAAAAAATGCGCACTGATGAAACATTGAAGGCGGAGGTTTATATATAATTTTTTTTTACTCTGATTTTTAAAAAAATTCTGTGGATAAGGGAATTCACTATTTATCTTTTTTTTTATTCGTTATTTCAATCTTACATCTTATTTCACTTATCATTTTATCATGTCCTCTATTTAAGGAT